TCATTTTTATTATTACTATTATTAATATCATTATACTTCTATTATTATTATTACTATTACTACTACTACTACTATTATTACTACTATAATTAATATTATTATTTTCTTATTTTTATAAATTTTATTTGTTTACATTTTTATTGACTTAAAATAATTAAATTAATACATTATTATTATTATTATTATTATTATTATTATTATTATTATTGATATTTCTATTTTTAATAAAAAATTATTTATATTTTTTATTAAGTTTTTCTTAGTTATGCTTAATTTATAAGTTTGTGTGTTTTTGCATTACTTTATAAACTAAATATGGTTTTGTTACAGATGAATAGCTCGACTGCATGTTTATTCTAGATTATTTGTGCATTAGAACCTCCTATAGTATTGTGTAAAGGCAAAGCTGGCCATGTTGAAAATTGCGTATTGATATTTCAGCTGATGAAGTCTGGTTAAAGCACCACCCTGTGGTCAAAAGCTGCAGGCACATAGTGCAGGTGATAGGAACACATTGAACTAAATAAATAAGTTGTTTTATTTATTACTTCACAAAGTCTTTGGTTATTATTATATTTGTGTTGAAATTTACACAACAGGTTATCATATTTATTTATTGTTAGTCATTTTAAAGTTGTTGTTTTATGCTTTCACTAATAAATCGATGTGTGCGTGAACAACATTTATCCTGTAACGTTTTGGCAGCACTGATCAGATCAATAAAATAATGCAGACTCGAATCATTTATGACTAAAACAAATCACAGAAACTGAGGTTTTAAAACTCTGAGATTAAAAATAATGACATTTAAAGGAATAAAAACCATTCAGATGAAGCTTCACATGAAGAATTTTCCTTTTTTCAGTAGGAGTGAACGCATTACTATCAGATTGAAAATATGTGTTGAAAACCGCACTCTAGTCTCAGTTTGGTAAACCTGCAGCAGTCTTTATCTTTATCTTCACTGTCAGCAGTGCTGGTGCAGTCGGTCAGATCTGCCTGATAACTGCGGCTAAACCTCAAACC